TTTTTTTTTTTTTTTTTTTTTTTTTTTACTTTTCTTCTGACGCCTGTGATTATTACCGCGTGAATTACTGTGTGGCGGTTTGGGCTTAAAGCCCATTGGGCCAGTGTGTTGGAAAGACAAAGAACGGCCATTGACAAGATGGGCCTACATTGTATTTTTGCATTCACTTTCTTAGTACAATTTTTTCTATCTTATGGTCGACAAATGTGTTTTAAAATCATGAGGTTAACGATGATACGTAACAGACTAAAGTGTATAATGTCTACTAGTGGTGGGTTTGGTTATCACAAATGGTATAAGAGCCAGACACGGGGGTGGTGTGCCAACATGGATGTAACAGACTGACGATGATACGTAACAGACTAAAGTGTATAATATCTGCTAGTGGTGGGTTTGGTTATCACAATGGTATAAGAGCCAGATACGTATATGAGGCAGACGATGATACATAACAGACTAAAGTGTATAATATCTGCTAGTGGTGGGTTTGGTTATCACAAATGGTATAAGAGTCAGACACGGGGTGGTGTGCCAACATGGATGTTGGACTCCCAAATGGGGTGGATTGTGTGATCTTACATATGTTGTAGAGGGGAATGAAGCATTTCTTATAAGCGTATAGAAATCTCTCTCTAATAAATGCGTTTTAAAATCGTGAGGCTAATGACGATATGTAACGGATCAAAAATAACAATATTTGTGAGCGGTGGGTTTGTGTTGTTATATTCATCTTCGTTGGTCGTGGAAAGTTGATTGTTGCAACGATGTAGAAGATCATCCGAAAGCGAAAAATTTCATACATAGTGGTTCAAAACAAACAATATCTGCTAGTGGTGGATTTTAGTTGCTACACTCATTTTCATCAGTTAAGTTGATTGTTGCAACGGTGTAGAAGGTCATCCAAAAATGAATAATTTCATCCGTAACGACCCAAAACAAGCTAAAGTGGATAATATCTGTTAGTGGTGGGTTTTGGTTGTTATGAATGATATAAGAGCCAGACACCAGGTGGTGTGCTAATGTGGATGTTGGACTACCAAAGGGGGTGGATTGTGAGATCCCATGTCGGTTGTAAAGGGAAATGAAGCATTCCTTGTAAGCGTGTGGAAATCACTCCCTAATAGATGCGTTTTAAAATCGTGAGGCTGATAACGATATGTAATGAGTCAAAACGAACAATATTTGTAAGCTGTGAGTTTATATTGTTACATTCATCTTCGTTGGTCGTGGAAAGTTGATTGTTGCAACGGTGTAGAAGTCATCCGAAAGCGAAAAATTCTATCCATAGTGGTCCAAACACAAACAATATCTGCCTAGTGGTGTATTTAAGTTGCTACACTCATTTTCATCACTTAAGTTGATCATTGCAATGGTGTAAAAGATCATCCGAAAAAGAATAATTCCATACGTAACAACCCAAAACAAACATTATCTACTAGCAGTAGATTTGAGTTGTTACATTCATATTCATTGGTCATGAAAAGTCGATTATTACAGCGGTGTACAAGGTCGTCTGATAGCAGAAGAACTTCCTCCCTCTCACCATAACCTTCCCCCATAATTCACTCTCCGTCATCACAAATCATACCTCACCCTCCTCGATCATTAAATGAACACAGTAAAACATATAGAGAGAAAGAGAAGACTCGCGACATATCTTGCATCGACGACATGAATCCTTTCCTCTTCAAGGCAGCCTCGACACGGTAGTGAATATAGTACATCTCATCATAAATTAAATGTGATGACATCACTAATTCAAAATGATCGTATATTCAAACTAATATTTAATTATTAAATATGAAAATAAAACGTTTAAATTAATATTAAATTAAAAAAAAATATATTCAAACCAATATATATTAAAAAAAAAGAAGAATTATTTGTATAATTGAAGTAAAATATTTAGGAGCATCAACTGTTTTCTACCAAACCGCTACAAATATACTACATGGAAAACATTGTATAAGCGCCACCGGCTGCCCCGGTAAGAAATATCCGGTCCATTCCCCTCACCGCAGAGAATCCAATTCCTTCCTTATTGTCCTCTCGGTTTCCACAGAATCCCATCCCTTGCCCTCTTCCAACCCCACCAATCCACTTCTAAAGCATGCCGCTAACAGCAGTAAAGCATATTTATACTAATTTTCCCCTAATTTTCTTATTTCTTTTTATAATTATAATATAATATAATAATTTTCCTCCCCCAATTTCAGTGGTTCAGCAATATGGGCAGTTTGGTCAGCTCCTCTTCTAAACGGAGCGGTGGCGGAGAAAAGCCTGCCAAAGCGGCTTCAGAACCGTCGTTCGGCGGCCGCGGCGGCGGTGGTGGTGGCGAGAAGCCTGCCAAGACGGCTGCTGAACCGTCGGTTAAGAGTACTGTCAGAAGAAGCATCGGCGGCGGTGGCGAAAAGCCTGGCAAAATGGCTGCACAACCGTCGGTTAAAAATATGGGCGGCGGCGGCGGTGGCGGTGGCGGTGGCCGTGGCCGTGGAAAGGGATCGAGGTTGTCTGAGAAGAAGGCTTCTTTCCGGCAGAAGTACGGTTTCATAGCAGATAATTTCTCTTCCATTGACCAGGTTTCTCTCTCATCCCTTTTTTTTTTTAACCCTTTTTTACCCCTAAGAAATTGGATGAGACCGTAAAAGAAATTACAGTCTTTAACCATGGGTAATTATTTTTCTATTGATCGCTATTATTATTTTTTTTAATCAATTTGACAAAAAAAAAAAAAAAAAAATTCTC